CTTCAGCACTGCAGACTCAGCCAAGCTCTGATCACCTCCCACCTGGATTATTGTGCATCCTTCTACCTGGTCTCCCTGCTTCCTCCTCCCTCTCTCCAGTGGTCTGTTCTCTGCTCAGTAACCAGAACAATCCTTTCCAAACGCAAGTTGGATCTTGCTACTCCTCTGTTTAAAACCTGCCCAAGACTATCTCTATTACAGTAGAAAATCCCGACAGGGGCAAGAAGCTCCTTCCCTGAACCCCCCCCCCCTTTCCTCAGGCCCTCTGCTATCACCCCTCTGTTTAGGCTGCCCTCCCACACATCAGCATGGTTGACCGCTCACCTTCTTCAGTTCTGCTGGCTTCACCCTCTCAGTCACGCTATTTACAGCAGTCGCGGTCGTCAGCTTTGCTGGCCATTCCCCATCCTATCATCCCCTACTCACTTTTCTCCAAACCACTCACCACCAGCTGAAACATTGCATATTTTACTTATTACTGTTCATCTCTTCTCTTTAGATTGGAGGCTCCATAGGGCAGGGACTTTGGTCTTTTACCTGCTGTACATCTCCAGCACACAGGCCAGTGCCAATGTAGACAAGACAGTTCTGGAACTGGTGACGCGATTACTGTTACTAACTCATAGCAGATCAGCACATCTGAGTGTAGATAGTACTGTCACAGGCTTTGCTGAGTCCATGAAGCTGGCCCTGCTTAGTGGGCTGAGGGCTTTTGTAGGGACCATTGGAGGTCAGTCCTCCCAGTGGAGAGAGAGAGAGAGGAATCAGGAATGGTAATGACCTTGAAGAATTTGTCTCCTGGAGGGAGAACTGGCCCACTATGTATAGGTATAGGTATAGGTATAGGTATAGGTATAGGTATAGGTATAAGTATAGGTATAGGTATAGGTATAGGTATAGGTATGCAAATAAGTCTAGACCAAGGCAGCCTTCATTAAAAACATGCCTGGCATCTTACATTCTGGTAATAACTCTAGAGGTTCCTACAGAAAAAAGAGACAAAGAACTTGTGGACTTAACTGTGTGGCTATTTCTGTCCCAAACAAGTTCCTGCCGGGGTCTGCTTATCACACCAGAGACACCTTGCCTGACTTCCAATCTAGTTTGCCCCAAAGTACCCTCCACTGGCCCCCTCCACCCAATATTGGCTCCTAATTAACTGTTAACATGAAACCCCACCCTCTTAGAGATGGTCCACATGCTGCCCCTAGATACAGGGAACATGAAGCAGAGTCAGCTTCGGAAGGTTTCATTGGGCTGTAGACAATCTCGATATTGTTTCCTTATAATACTGATATGCTCCCTGTACGATATAGAGCACACAGCTCAGGGACCCTCTCTGACCATCTTTCAGTCTGAAGAGCCTTTCTCAGTATATGGCGCAAAGCGGACATTCAGTAAAGTTTGTGATTGTGAATTGGTATTATAGGCTCTGAGTAAGGATAATTCTATTTGTCCTTACTCTGCATTTTCTGTAAGGTGCCTTGGAAGTAGTCCATAAGGTTACCTAGTTGCACTGTCATCGCAATATCCTAATCAGTAACACTGAAAACATTTCAAATAAAGGGACAGATATTTAAATTTCATTCACATCAATTATGCCATGACTCCGTAGAGAGTGTGTTCCAGCAGCTCAAGCTCCTTTCCATGCGTTTCACAACCTAGGCAGAGCAGGCTGGTGCTTCAGTTGAGCCCAAGTAACTCTCCCTTTGGCTTCTTATCACTTCTTTTTTTTTTTTTTTTTAAGATTTATTTATGCATACAGAACTGGGGTTCAGACCAGAGGTGCAGGGGCCGTGAGAGGCTTCACCAGAGACAAAGTGGGGAGCAGAACAGGCAGATCGATGAAGTGCACTGCTGAGGGGAGCAGCGGGTGAGACAGGAGAGGTCTGCTGCGCCATGTGGCTCATCTCCAGGGCCGGGATCTAACTTGCACTGAAGCGGCTTTGGCCAGCTTGCAGTGCTGGGTCCTTACCCATTGCACCACCAGGGAAGGCCCCCTTTTTATTACTTCTGTCCATTTCTTTCATTTCAGGGAGCCATGTTGGCTCTTAGCATGCTTAATATGTTCAGTGAGAACATAGATCCTCTTGGCAAGAATCTTGTTCTCTACCTCTATTTTACACAGCATGCCAACTGCATGCTGGGTAATGTTGACTTCTTCACTATTGCTATGGTAACGTGTGGGGCATTTCTTTCTGAGCAGCGCCCATCCTCTTGATGTCTATATCACCCTTTTTGTAGATTTGCATGTATGTGGCCAAAGGAACAATTCTGTGTTTCTAAAAGGCGCAGAACATACAGCAGTTGTCTCACACTTTGGGTTGGTCATGTTGGCTACTTACCAAAAGATGGCTGTTCCCTGTGTTTGATTTCTTTAATACCTATATCTGAAAAATCCAAAAATTTCCAGGAGATAACTTAAAAATGACTCCTTCCACTTGCTACTGAACACCTTTGAATAGGGATTCCCTGAAGTTATCTGAATTTTTAGATAGTTATAAGAAATGGGCTTCCCTGGTGGTGCAAGGGATTGCGTCTCAGCACTATGAAGCTATTAGCAGCCACTGCAGCCCAAATTTGATCCCCAGCCAGGGAGCTGACCCACATGGCACAGCAGACCTCTTCTGTCTCACCCGCTGCTCCCCTCAGCAGTGTATTTCAGTACATCTGCCTTTCTGCTCCCCACTCTGTCTCTGATGAATCCTCTCACTACCCTCACCATTCCTCTGGCCAACACCCCAGCTCTTGTTTGCATAAATAATTAAAATAAATCTAAAAAATTAAAAAGACCAGCAAATGGAGGAGCTTAAAGCTAAGGATCTTAAAACATTAGGATCTGGTAATGAAACGCCAAGCTATTTTGTTGGGTGTTTTATAATTCTCATTTTTTTAGTGTTTGAAAAATGTGTTTTCTCATATTTTCACACCTCACATACATTCATACTTAGCCAAGATCAAGCATAGAAAGAAGACCCATCATATAATCAGTAAGAGGTGATGTTGGCAATAAGAAGATATGGGACAGGCAGATCCTTCCCCTGCTTGGTTTTCTGACTATATAAACTACAGCGAGGGACTAGGTGATTTTTTTTTTTAAAGATTTATTTATTTGTGCATACAGAACTGGGGTACAGGCCAGAGGCTCAGGGGCGGCGAGAGGCTTCACCAGAGACAGCGTGGGGAACAGAACAGGCAGATCGACGAAGTACACTGCTGAGGGGAGCAGTGGGCGGGTCAGGAGAGGTCTGCCTCACCATGTGGTCTCCTCCGGGGCAGGAGGGAATCGAACTCATGCGGAAGCGGCTTTAGATTCTCAGTGCTGTACTTTACCCCGCTGCGCCACCAGGGAGGGCCGGGACTAGATGATTTAAGGAAAGTTTCCAGTTTTAAAGCCTATGGAATTAGGGGGCTCCTACACTCACATTATAAGGAGTTTTTCTTCATAAAAGAGTCCCTTCAGATTTTCTATGAGTTTTTTTCCCCATTGTGGATTTAAACTATGACTTGGTTTTATCAAGATCTAGTCATTCTATCTTAAAAAATAATTTATTTTTATTTATGCATATAAGAACTGTGGTATAGGCCAGAGCTGTGGGGGGCCAGGGGATGAGAGGATTCACAAGAGACAGAGTTGGGTGCAGAACAGGCAGGTCTACCAAATTCCACTCTGAGGAGGAGCAATAGGCGAGACAGGAGAGGTCTGCTGTGCCTTGTGGGTCAGCTCCCTGGCTGGGGATGGAACTCAGGCCATAATATCTGTCAATAGCTTGATAGCACTGAGACTTTAACCATGCGCCACCAGGGAGACCTTAGTCACTTTTTTTTTTATTATTCATAAAGGCAGCTAATACTGATCATGCTCAATACACCATGCATAGATGAAATGCCTTACGTGGCTAATTTGATGTAATCATCCCAATAACTTGTGAAAGGCATCAGTGTTGTTCCATATGACGAACAGGTAAGCTGATTCCAAGGCCATATAACACATTGAAGGTCACTGAATTAGAGAATGTGGAAACATTGGGGTTCAAACTCTGGATTCCACCTGTGCCTCCAGAACACATTGCTACCCCTGGATCCCCCAGATTGGCTGCTGGAATGAGAAAGCATTAGGGTTCCTTCCCTAGTTGGATAACTGTGGTCCTGTGTGCCTTCTTGTCTTCACAAGTGGGACAATCTCTCGGAGGCGGGATGACTCCCTTGGTCTCCAATTTCTTTGGCATAAATTTGTGATATTTTCATGAACAAGTGCACTTCGGCTTTTCTGGATGAACAACAGTGGAGTCACAGGTTATCTTGAGTTATTTGGAAATGATCAAATGAGCAGCAAAGGTTTCAAATTTGTTTTCAATTCCTTATTTTCTTCTTTAGGTTTATTATCAAACAGTATATACAGCAAGGCTTTCTATTGTTTTGCAAAAAAAATGAAGGTGAAAATAGCACCACATACAGGAAGATAATTTGAGATTCATTTCACACCTTCATAATCATAGTTGTTATTTTCACTTTCACAAGAACTGCATGGGTACAAGTCAGGAATTTTATACTCACTTCCTCTGAAGAGAGTCACAGAAGGGGAAGCGACTTGTTCTAGGACATGGAGCTGGTTAGATTCTAGAGCTAGTGTTTCTGCACTCTGCCACCCACATAAGGAAAAAGCACAGCAGACTTGGGTGATTCTAGCCAGGCAGAACAAATGTCTAGTCCCCTGGGGTTTGTGCTATGCTAGGCTGTGGCTGCGGGAGCCCCGTTGAACTAGCGACTTATGCTGGCGGGCGAAGATTTAGCCTTCCCCTGCTTACACCTGTGCAGGATGATAAAGCAAGAAGAAGTAGCCAGCAGCTGTGGACCAACTAGATAAAATATTTAGGCGGGAAGTCAAGTGAACTTGTCAAGTGTGTGTATGTGTGTTTTTAACTGTTAGTTTCTTTTGATATTTTCAAAAAGCCTGCTTGTGGAAGTCAGACCAAAGAGCAGGAAGGGACTGCAGCAAGATGGAGTTGGGAAAGGACAAATCCCGTCTGACGTTCTCTCAGACATCTGATCCTCATCAAGAAAAGAACAACGTTCCAGGTAACAGAGCGATCACAAGAGAGAGTGGCTGCTGGGAGAACTGAGCCTCTGGTTATTTTCCTCATTTTTTTGGATCTGGTCAAAAAAAAAAAAAAAAAGGAGGGGGCATAATTTAGTACATTCCTATAAACTTAGCTGGGAGGAACTGGGGACTGTGTAACTTCCTGAAGTACTTTCTTGTGTGAAGAAACACATACTAGGAATGAAAGATGTTGAAAATACCCAATACTGAACGGTTGTGCTAAACCAACCACCATCTGCTTCTGCGGATGTGTACATTGGTGTAACTTTTGCAAAGAGATCTGGCACTAAGTAACAAGAATTGTAATAGTGTTTATTTTTTTGACCGACTAATATTAGTCGCTGACTTTATCCTTAAAGCGACATTTCTAAAATGTTTTGTCAAACCCTCAATCTTGAGATGATGCTTTAAAACTTTCTTAGTGCTATGGATCCCATCTTTTGCATTCTGATCAACTTACAGATCCTTTCTTAGAATAAACAGTTTAAATACATAAGCTCAAATACATAGAATTTCGAAGGAAATAACAAGAAGCTGTGATCTAGTAATGCACGTGCTTATTCATAGGTGTGTTAAATAACAAGATCTATGGTTGGGCCACTGTACCATCAAATAGAGCATGTTTGCTATGATGTAGTTTTTAGAGTTGGGAGGTAGAGTGTGGTGTCCTTGGGTTCACTCTGGGAAAGGTTTCTCCAGAGATCCCCTTTCAGTTGTTGATGGCAAGATTCTCCATGACACGGAAACAACCAGGTATATTTAGGGAGCAGGTTTTATTAGAAAACGGACAGAAAAAAAGAAGGACATTTGCCTGGACAAAAGCGGGCAGAAAAAGCTGCCTCTAAAGGGACAGCTTTGCTGAGAGAGGACTGCATGGCCGCAGGCAGAGGCCCTGAGGAGAGCGGCCTCTGTTGAGGGGGTCAGTACAGAGAAGCCCCAGCATGTTACAGGTCACGGGCAGGCAGGAGGCTGCTGCCTTGCGGAGGGAGAGAGCGGGTGGAAAGAAGCACCTGCATAGGCGCTGCACAGGTGGGCAGAGACTGCCCCTCTGTGGGGGCAGTGCTAGGTGTCATCATCTTCTCTCATTGGGGAGGGTCTCATCTTCGTGAGTGAATGTTTGTTCCTCATTCCCATATCTTCACCTTTAGGTCCGTGCTCTTGACACACCCTGCAACAGTTTGACACCTGTCTGGGTGTTGTGCCTCCTGGCCTGGGGGTTGAGGCCTAAGGGTCTTTGTTTCCTTAACTTGATTAATGGCGTAGCTAATCTCTTCTACCCCTATCTCCCTGTGTGAAAAGGTTACTGACCATGTAGAGTCCTCTCCAGCCTTTCCCTTCTTATCCTCCATATACTATATGATTTCAAATACATGGTATTTTAAGGCATCTGTAGAACAGCTGCAGTGTGATATGAAAAAAGCAATCTGGAATTTCATTTGGTGGCAGTCACAAGCTGCATAAACTACCATGATTTTTTCCTCTATCCAAATTCACCATTGAGAATCTCTGTCCTAAGAACAAAAGGAGCTGTGATTCAAGGGGCAAGCTCTATCTTTTAGGGGTCCTCATACAAATTTACAATCACTCTATAGACTCTGAGAATTTCTATCTCAAATACCCAGTAATTTTTATGAAACTTGGATAGCAAGAGAGTAATAACCTTTGGCAAGAGAAATTTCTCCAGTAATAACCTTTAATATTTTAAAGAATTCAAAGAAACATTATCCTTAGGAAGAAATACTAGCTGTATGAATGTTTATTATAGTTTGACTTCAGGAAGCCAAAAAAAAAAAAAAAAAAGACTAGAAACAACCTAAATATTCAATAGATAAAGGTAAATGAAAATATGTCTACTTCTTTAAGTACCAGTTCATTTTTAGTTATGATTATATTATATAAATGTATCATTAAAATATTTCTATATGTTAGGTGAATAAATGATAAATTTGTGGTGTGCTATCATTATAAATTTGTGATATAGGAATGAGATTGTGAGGGGTAAAATTAAAACAGGCTGTCATGTCAAGGATAGCAGAATATGGCTGATTTTTCTTTGATTGTTTGTGCAATATATAAAAAATATTTTGAAGAAATTAATAGGTTGATATCACACTTATATACAAATGCTGACCTTTTTACTTTAAAATTTCTACCAAATGCTTGCTCCTAGGCATCCTTTGGCAACTTAAGGATGAACTGTAATCCTTGTCTTCAAACAACTGGGAGAAAAACAGACCCCAGCATGGGGATTCTACAACTTTGCCATAGTACTGTCTTGCTAATAAATGCTGCAATTCCTCACTGTCTCCTGTAACTTTCATTTTGATCTTTCAGAATTCATTGGACGTTGGAGTTTGCGAAACAGAGAGCAACTCAGAAAAAGAAAAGCCGAAGCTCAAGAAAAGCAAACATCGCAATGGCAATTTGGGTAAGTATCACTGCTGGGGAAAGGAGATCGGCTGTTACTCAGCACTTGCTGTGTGTCTTGTTGCCTGAATGCCTTTGCTCATTTATCTCTTTATCTCTCCAACAATCCTGTAAATAGAAGCTGTTATCACTATTTTGTGTGGGGGGAAGCAAATCAAGTCTCTTCTGGGTTAAATCTCTTTTCGAAAATCCCCCAGCTGGTTAAGTGGTGGGGAGAGAAGTTTATCTCCAGTGTCTCTTGGATAAAGCAGCAGGCCATCAAAATAGATTGCAGAGGGGAGTGGGAGACAACATTGGGAAAATCTCTGAGCCTCTTCTCCAAGCTTTCTAATGGTAAAATCCTTATTGAATGAGTATGACTAACTCCATGAGTAAATCAAAACTGTCTGTAAATGAGTGGTGGCAGAGGTTGGGAGTTCCGAAGTCTCCAAAGCCACCTGTGTGTCAACTCAGGGAGGAAGTACAAGAACATGATTTTTGTAGATTAGTCGACATCCAACTGCATCCATTTGGTCTGTGAACACAGAGGAACTGCCTGCTTGGAGACAGAAAGGGGAAACACAAGAAGCCAAAAGGGCAGCATCCAGGTATGCTGGGGTTTCTCTAATTAGGCACTGTTGACACTCTGGACAGTGTGTGGGGAGGTTCTGTGCTCTGTAGCTGGTTAGCAGCATTCGATGGCCTCCAGAAACGCATTCCACCTTCCCCATCCCCAGGGCTAATGCCAAAAAATGTCTGCAGATATCATCAAATATCTCCTGGGGGAAAAGGAGTGGGCAAAATTCCCCTTCCCCCTTGAACCACTGATCAAAGCACTCATCTTAAGAAAGAGCTTAAAGAAAAAGAAAGAGCATTGACTACCGATTGAGTATTCTCTGTTCAGCTACAACACCAATTAGCTCAAGTCCAATTGGCGAATAGAATGCTGTCAGTATAATGTGGAACTTGGGTTGGTTCAGCACCTTTTGTATTCAAAAGGAACCCAAACTGAGGGAATAGAATGAAAACCTTCGGCAGGGAAGGTAACAGCCTTCAGGTTGGCTGCAGACAGAATCCTTTTCAGCCTGCATCCAGAGTTTGTTCCCACAGGACACTCCCAGCTTTGCACAGTTTTCTACATGTAGCATGGTGCCAAGCATTTCCTCCTGTACCCAAGGTACTGGCAGCTAGTTGGCTCAGAGCACCACCCTTAATTGTGTGATTTCGGTGGCTGCAAGCCTGCATTTATACTGCTACTCCTGTTTATGCTACCCTGGGGCAGACTTCTGGCACTAAGCTGCCGTCTGGACTGTCCAGTGTTTTCCCTATTACCAACTATTGCATCTGTTAGTGTTAAAAAAAAAAAAAAACTGCATAGGATTTGAGTTGGTCGTCCCAACTCTATTTCTATCCCCTTCCACCCTCTGCCCCCAACTGTTGCTTTTTAGGGCTTGATTTTGCAGAAGGTGGGGCTTTTCAGAAATGCATGTCATGTTATATAGCAGGACCTGTGCTTGGGTCCTTTGGCAGGTGACTGTTGATTGTTGAATATCAGGCAGTTAGAGCCCTAACTCCATAGTCATCAACAGCCACCATTACTTGGTTTCTCAAATTGCTACAGAAAAAGAGTGTTCCTTTGCCAGCTCAAGCATATCTGCTGCAAGACTGCATTGCTCTTTGTTTATGTAATGCTGTTCTTTAGGTTTGCATACGGTTGATGAGCTCTGCCCCTGATAAATGGAGCTAGTCATAGCGTGCTGCTAGAGTTGGGTTTCTGAGCTTGCAGGGCTGGGGAACCAAGGCTGAGGAAGTCACTGAAATAGATGACACCTTGGTGAACCCCCTGGCAGCTGTTATGGCCCTGCTCTGGGCACGTCTCCATACTGCCAAGGACCATTCCTACAATGTACCACACAGTGCAACCTTACTAGTTCTGGAGAGGATCATCAGGGCGGACTGGTTACATCCCAAACGACTAGATTATTGGCGCCCTAACTTCCTGGCCAAGATCTTAGGCAAGTTACTCAGCCTCTCTGTTTTGACACAACCCAATTTTGTCATTTACAAAATGCAGATAATAGTATGTACCTCATAAGTTGATGTGAAGATTACATAGAAAGTAGAAATGAATTAAGATTGCGGCACATAGGAAGAACCATCCTCTGGTGATTCCTATGTTAAAGCAAGATTATGATACTAATTTATGTTTGGATAACTACATAACAAATTATTTAAGATTTAATGTTTAGAATAAAACAATTGTTTCCTGAAGAATCCACCTATACCATCTTTAAAAAATTATACAATATAGGCTTTATAAATTACCTTATTACTTGGAATTACATTTCAAAATATAATTTTGGATGACTTTATCTTTTAGATTATTTTGAATATTTATTTTGGACTACCCTATAACATATGAACCTTTATTAACTTCCAGCTAGTCTGGTAAGGCAATTTTTTTTTTTAATTTTGAACAATCATTTTAAAAAATCTAATCAATAGAATGAAGATGACCTAGTGAACATTTTTTTCCTTTTCATGTATTTTTAAACATCCTAGTTGTTTTATTCCTTAAAGATTTATTTATTTATGCATATAAAACTGGGGTACAGGCCAGAGGTGCAGGGGCAGTGAGAGGATTCACCAGAGACAGAGTGGGGAGCAGACCCTTGTTTATTTTTCACAATGTAGGATTTCTCCCTTCAGGTGCTGTCCATAATTTTCCCACCACCAAAGTGCTTATAGTCCCCCCACCTCTCCACCTGTTATCTACTCTCCCTCTCCCCCTCCTGCCCTCCCATCCTGAGTATCTCCGATCTACAGTCTGCTTTCAATGGCAAGTCTTACAATTTGTCTTTGTCTGATCCTCTGTTTGGTTTCTCCAGATTCCACATATAAGTGAAACCCTCAGTACTTATCTTTCCCCTTTGGCTCACTTTGCTTAGACTAATCCCTTCCAGAAAATTCTTGCCTGCTTGTGACTATGCGGGTGTCTCTCTTTTTCTTTCTCTTTTTCCTTTTAAAAGGCAATGATTTAATGACAATACTGATAATCCTTTCCAGTTTGATCCATGCTGCTGTAAATGGCATGAGTTTCTCTCTCTTGATCACTGAGCAGTATTCCATTGTGTATATACCACATCTTCATCCACTCTGAGTGTTCTGAGACACTTAGGTTGTGTCCATATCTTGGATATTGTTAATAGCGCTGTTATAAGTACAGGAATGCAGGTTTCCCTTAGAATTAGTGTTTGTGTGCTCTTTGAATAGATACCTAAGAGTAGAATTGCGAGGTCATCTGGTAAATCTATTTGTAGTCTTTTGAGGAGTCTCCACATTTTTTTCATGTTGAGCTGGACCAATTACCAACAGTGTAAGAGGTTTCCTTTTTCTCTACATCCTCACCAGTACCTGTTTGTGGTGGTGGTTTTTTGGGTTTTTGTTGTTGTTGTTGTTTTTAACTTGGGTCATTCTCAGAGGTGTGAGATAGTATCTCAGGGAAATCTTTTTTAAAAATTTAAACTAAGAAAAATTTCAAACAACACAAAAAGAGCAGGTTATACTTTTTTTTTTTTTAAGATTTATTTATTTATGCAGAACTGGGCTGCAGGCTAGAGGTATAGGACAGAACAGGCAGATGAACTGAAATAGACTGCTGAGGGGAGAAGCAGGTGTGGGTGGGCCAGGAGAGGTCTGCCACACCATGTGGGTCACCCCCCCACCCCACCCCGGGGATGTGAACTCTTGCTGCAGTGGCTGTGACAGTAGCTTCATAGTACTGTGCTTTAACCTGTTGCACCACCAGGAGCGCCTGGGTATATGTTTTTTTTTGAGGTATGCACGGAACTACAAGTACTGCAGCAGTATACAAAATACTGGTTTTATCTCCAAACAACGTCACATTTACTAAAAGAAATTAGGTTTCTTGAGAAATAACTGCAGTACAAGGCAGTTTCTCTTGCTTACCTTCAGCATGATCTACACAATAAATCCTTCAGGAGTGCAAAACAAGGAAAGCACTTCAGCCCTGTGTCCTGGTAGAGAAGACTTCGCAGAGCAGGTAGCATGGAATAGAATTTCAATAGGTTTAGAAAAATGATGAAATGCTTATTTATAGGACCTTGTTCTTTTCTCCCAAGCCCATCTGTATTAGCCATCTGTATTTGGTTATATTTGTGCTACCTAGCAATTTGTCATTGGCTGCAATTTCCCTGTGTGTCCTTTCATCTTTTAGACCTTTAATCTATTAATTTTGAATAGGTACAACATGACCACTCATGTTTTTCCACAAACTTCTTAACCCCAAGAACTGTTATACAGCTTTTGACCCAGCTTAGAGTACATCTCATTTGATAGGTATTGCTGCTACTTAGCATTCTTTTCACAAGTCGCTGTGTAAGATAAGCAAGCTGCATATATCACGGCTGCACAGAAGAGGAGCTGTGCCTGGATTGCAAATCTAGAAACTCAATTATATTGACTTATCTAGAGAATAGTGGATGTTCTGGCAGTAAGTAGAATTAATTCACCCAGACTAAACCCAAAGACTCTCATATACACCAGGATGCCCATCTATTAATTTGTAACATCCACTAAGTAAATACATATGGGCAGGAGCACACACACACTACATTCACCAAGAAGGTTCGTGGTGATTATGGTGTTGGACACAAAAAGTTCCCCAGGGACATTTGCTCTCATGACAATTGAAAACTTCAGCACTGCTCCTTTAAGGCCCAGAGAGATCAAATGATTTGCTCAAGTCCGGTGTCAAGGCAAGGGGGCACCTAAGTTATTACCAAACATTCATTTGAAACCTGCTGACACTAACTCTGATTTCTCCACAGAGAACAGAAAAAAAGCAAGAGACAGAGAACAGGAAATGAAAGAGGCCGAAAGAGACAACAAAATACAGAACCAAAGGTGGAGTCTCAGTTACAAATAGAAAAGGAAATGACTGAGAAAGTACTGGCACCTACAGTAGAGAAAGAAACTGAGCCACCTAGGGGTGCCCCCAAAACCCTGCCTCCAGGAGCCTCCCTTGAAAATGGTGTACCAGGGAAACATTTTTCTGAAATAGATCAAGAGAGCATTATGCAGCAGGAAAATGCTCCTGAGTACCAAACACCAGTGGAGCAGAGCCATCCTTCTGAAATACGCCAAGATAGGACTGAGCCTGAAGTTCTGTCTCCTAAAATGTGTCAAGAAATAGCCATACTTGAAGACCATCCTTCCAAAATGAACCAAGACATGGCTACCCGTGAAGACCTCTCTCCTACAAGGTGTCAAGAAATAGCTATATTTCAAGACCATCTTTCCAAAATGAGCCACAATGTGGCTACCCCTGAAGACCTCTCTCCTAAAAAGTGCCAAGAGATAGC